GTCACCAGCGAAGCTTTTCATTCTTGTTAAAAACTCATTAACTTGGAAGTTTGCATCATTTGAAGCCAGTGGGAATTGATTAGCATCTTGCAGAACTAATCCCATTAGAGCTCAATTCTGTAAGATCTGCGTTTCCTGAAGCACCCACAGCAGAGAACCGATACTCAACATCTGTTTAACACGTACATCACCATTCCTCCGATGATGGCACACCAGAGAGCGACGTGCTGGTCAGCATGGTGGGCACAGTTGGATTCCAACCGCACTTCCTCTCGTTTGGGCAGCAGTTTTTTCTCTCAAGGTACGTGTGTGTACTCCAACTCCCGGTTCTCTTGAGCAGAGCTACTTCCAAACAAGTCAGAATTACACTTCACTGAAGCTTGGCTGTTTGTCTGAAAGTAAGAAAGCCAAGAGTTTGGGGAATTCCTACCGAGGATGTAAAACTCTTCAATTCCTTATGCACGGTTCCTGTTGAACAGTCCTTGAAGGGCAGACACAAAGTGGTACCCAAGACTTTTCAGACATTTGAAGTTTAGGTGTTTTAAATTAAAGGCTGACACTAGCAATTTCTTTAAAATGCCAGACTTTTTCCTTCTGTTAGCATCAGATCAAACTCACCAGGCAATTAAAGAATCCTTGTCTGTCCATGCCTTGCTGGGCTCTATTCCGGCCCCAGGCTGGTCATCTTCGTGTCCCAGCTGGTGTCTGACTTACACGATGCATTACACGTACCTCAGTGTCATTCTTCGCACAAACACGTCACCTGCCCCCTCAGCTGGATTCCGCAGCCGCGTACCGGCTTTCATCTTCGTCCCTCTGCATCAGCCGCAGAGAGCGCCCAGCGGAAACCAGCCATCCCACTACCCTTCTTCAGCTGGGTCGATATGCTTAAGGCTGCGCAAAAACCAGACACGGCCATGCTGCGGCTGCTGAAAGGCTTTCCCAAAGCTACACGTCATTTCCATCGAATACTCAATGAGCACCAAATTCACCAAATGAAATAGTTAGCATTCAGCATTCCCTAAAGATAACATCTGGACACAAGCAGTACAGCCGGAGTCAAGCCAGCAGTCCTCCAGACACTGCCCTTTCCATTTCTGCAGCCTGCATGCTGACTCTGCACCCACTCAGTGCGATGTTCAGGGCACTTGGCGTCTCTCAAGTGGCTGCGCCCTCCCTCACGCACCCCTGCAAAGCCACGCTCCACGTTTTGACCAGAACAAGACCGCAGAACTCAGCCTAAAGCACTTTACACATCATCTGGTCAGACGTGTGCCGTACTCTTCATCAAAATCACTTCCCTAAGCCCCACGAGCTCCAGCCACAAAGGAACATGCTTCTAGGGGAAGCTTAAAATAAAAAGGTTAAGAAGAAACATTGAGTTAAAAGTTTTATTCATTCAACATCTCACATTACAAATATTTAAAAATTATATGCATACTGGTATAAATAGTCATTTGCAAACTATTTAATAACATTAATTTTCACTAGCACTTCAACAAATGAACTCTTTAAAAAAAGTAACTTGTGTTATATAACTTAGAGTAGAACATACAAAAATATGAACTTAAACGTGAAAATGACTTTAATAAAAAATGAATTACCCTTATTTAAAATGCTATAATAAATACTACAACCTCCCCATACACAGTAAAAACTATATGGAAATTCAGCCAAGTAGTACAATTAACTGACATACTTAAATAACTTTTCCTTCTGATAATATGAGCAATACATTGGGGGAAAAACATATTAGGGATTAGTAAAAACTAGACACCCACTTGCTAAAAGTTTCACTTCCAAAAAATATAACAAAAAAATCTGATGAAAATTATAAAAACTAATTATACTTTAAAATTTAAAAATATAAAAAATAAAACAGTTGAATACAATATTGTCCCAATTCTTACAATGCTATCACAGTAGCTTTAAAATAAGATAATAAAATAAAGCAAATGACCAAAACCTTTTATTCCATTTTTTTAAAAATAATCTCAAATTTACATTAGTAGAAAGATTGATTTCTGATTCTTTTCTTTAGAAACACCAGCAAGAAAGAGGATTTACTAGAACAGTAGAAAATGACATTTTTAAATGTCTGCAATTAAAAACAAAGAATTACACTGCAAAGATCTTCCAGAAGTCTGAAATAGGTATTGCACATAACTTGAAGTTAACTTGCCACAATTCGTCACATTCAAGTTTTAAATCACCTTTTAACAGAAGGCTTTAACTCTTCGAAAACAAAAGGGGTGAATTATCAAGTCTTTCCAACAGCATCCTTATAAAACGCTAAATTCATTCACTGCAAGTTTTAAATTTGCATTCTGCAGAGGTCTGTGTATGGAGAAGTATATACTATACCAAAAAGCACGGGGCAGTGGGGTTCCTTTACATATAAAATAATCAGAAACACTTTATTTTACATTGCAAAAATAACCATGTAATTACTCTGTAACTACACTGTAAATACATGGCCCGTGCCATGCCAGTGGGATAAAACCACACGCTCATTAACCCCTTTGCCAACGGAAGTGACACCCGAAGACTGGTAACCCAATTACGTGTTCATCACGTCCGGGGCTACACGGTAACCCCAACTACAAATCCCACGGAGTCAGAAGGACGTGTCATCACTAGCTGAGTACAGAGTAATGTATATAATTGTTTATGCTCTGTAAATCGAAGTGTAACCAAATAACCTGTAAACACGCTTGTCACACGAGCACAAGTGAGTATTAGTAGAGTAACAATTCCTTACATTAGTCATGCATACTAACATTACGTGCCCGCCACCTGGCAGGCTCTCTTTTATTCTTTAAATATAATTTAAAAGAGCAGACACATTTCTGCATCAAACACCTAACATCAATTTTTTAATTAATATTAAAAATGGCTAAACATTCACCAAAAACGTCTGCATTTGTGTATAATCTTTAAAAACTCAGTAAGAAGCGGTAGACAATTTTGATGTTTCTTTACTTTTAAATTTCTACACTCTATTTATGCATTTAAATTTCATGGGTCTAAAGACAGTGTCATTTGTCACTTTCATGCTTTTCTTCTTTAATTCTCAACTTTACATATACTATTTCTTAAATTATATGTACACCAAATACCTGGTGCTGGGCTAAGATGTTTAAGCAACATGCTTTCTTTTCTCTGCAGATTCTAAAATAGCATTGCCAGTGCACAACATCCATAATTCAAAATGTATGCAGAGCACTGAAATGTATAAAAAGCAGAATATAAGAAAATAAAATTTATTAAAATTATTTATATTAAAAAATGAAGTATATGAAGATCTCTCAGTAATAAAAGTACAAAAAGCTACTCTTTGCAATATGAAAAATTGAGGTATTGCATAAAGAGATATCCCGTCAGTGAAAAGTGTGCCTAAAAATGCTCACTGTTGGAAAAACAAGATATACAAAAGTAGTGCATAACAAATATACATTATGTGCATGACAAAATAAGTTAGCTACAAAAACACTGTACCGAAATTCAGCAGGTCATGTACAAAGGGAAAATTATTATTCAAAGCTAGTTCTCAAACAGTGTTATTTCTTGTAATGGTAACCCACCTCACCTGTTGACTGGGTAGGATCGGCACAATAGCACACCCCAAGCCACCTACAAGCATTAAAAAAATCAAAGGAACATTCCAACTATAATTATGTACTTCAGAGAAAAAAAAGTCCCTGACAATCTACACAAGAGCACTCTGCATTTGCATTACTGTTGTCAATATTTTCAGGGATTTCATTAAAAGCAGCTCCCTTTCTATACTTGACTAGTAGACAGCAAATGTCTCCATTTTGACCTTTGGAACTTGGTAAGGTATAGTTCATTAAAGCCTGTATTGAAAATAAAAACTGCTTCTCATAAAGATAATCAGGGCATGGGGAAGGGGATGAGGGGGGCCGGCAAGGGCTTTTGACGGAGCGGATCTTTTCCAAGCAGTGCTGAGGCAAGTCTTTGGTTTGAGAGAATCTAGGATGGTACCTTGCCGCTCGGGCAGTTCAGAAGATTGCCACCGCATCTGTTTGCGTGCACACTGCTAAATAATAATTGGAGAAGTTGGCCAGGGCATTAGTTCAAAAGTAATAATTTTCAGAACAACTCCTTCATTCAGCGATTTCAAACTAAACCCCTGCACCCGCTCGCTACCATTCAGTTATCATGTACTGCGTTAATGCTTCTCTAGGCAGGACTCGTTCGTTAAAGCAGGCATTAACTTGGCAACGTTGGCACTTCAAAGACCTGTGTTTCTTTATTTCCCCATACTGAGTTCTGAAGAGGGGGAATCTTGGTTGGGATTCTTTCTACAGGAAGAGCAGGAACGGCATTCACGCGCCTGCACCATTTCCCGCACAAATGCAGAAAACGGTGCAGAAGGCGACGTGGGAACTACTCAGGTTCATGCCTTCTGTTACAACTAAGTTAGAGGGTATTTAAAACTAACTTTACATCCAAGATGGGAAAGGAATAAGCAGCCAAATTTAGTCTGGGTGACACAATGGAATATCAAAACTTCAGTAAAAATCGGTGATATCCTTGAGGTATCTTTAGGTTTTCCACTTTTTCACGTCAAAATGGAGAGCAAAGGCTGGCCCCTGATGAATGTTAGTATATTAGGATATAGAGTTATATATAGCCATCAAAAATAAAATCTATATATTTATCCTTCAGGAGAGGAAATGCCAGTTAACTAGTTGTCATTACTCTAGCTTTGGTAGGATTTCTAGGGCTGTAACCAGACAATGAGTTCTCTTCAAGAAACAGAAAGTGCACTCCCCCCTCAGTAGTAACTTTACTCAACTTTTACATTCAGGAATTCTTAAACTGTAATCATTTTGATGAAAATATAGTAAGCTCTGCCTATCTCATTAAAAATTTGGATGTGGGTGGTAGCCGGAGGCACGGTCAGATACACACCGAGCTAAAATCTCAGCCTCAAAACCCTTAACAGATTTTTTTTTGTTGTTAAAGAGATCATTATTATAATGCTGCTTCAACTTTGCTCATGCATTTTTGTTGCTTTAAACATGCTCTTTCCTGTTGGTAGGTAAATGCTAGCTTCATCTGTTGCTGGAAAAATCCGAAGTCGGAACAAAAAGAGAGGCAAAAACAGGCTTCCCTGGGGGAAAAGTGTCAGAACAGACTGATAGTGTTATTGTTACACAGTTATTTTAATAAAAGTATTCTTATGTTCTTTATTAACAATAATTTAATTAAAAAACCAAAATACTCTATTGTTTCAATTCTCTTTTCTTAATATTTTTCTCTCCTCTAAGAAAATGTTGCATGAAATTAAGTGTTCTCTTGGTAGTAAAGACAAGAGAATGCAACTCGCTTGCAACATGTTATCGATACGAAAAGGAGTTCCCAATACAGTTTTCAATGACAAGATTCTACAAAATACCCATATTATAGGTCATTCTTTCATTATACTATTGTTAAATTACAGACTACTACAAAAGGACATGCTATCTTGAAGAAGAGAAAGGGTAGGGTGGGGTAGGGACAATCAGGATAACAGAAGAGTGCACTTAATTTGAGGCCTGCATATGAGCACTGCAGTGATCATTTAGTTCCAGCGGAATGAAATATGTCTTGGGCGATCTCCTCCCTCCTTCACCAGGGGCTTGTGGAATTCCCTGCCAGCGCGTGAATGGATAGCAGCCCAGCAATATTCACAGTAATACTGCAGACAGGTAACATTAGCACAGAAAAATGGAGCAAATTTTCCACCGCAACGGGCCCCCTGACATTCATCACAAAGCTGATCATCCAAGACATATGGCTTAACTTCCACCTGCGTTCAGAAAACGAGAAGAAAGTTTACAATTCTTGGTAACAGTGTAGATAATGACAATTCCACGCTATTTACTACCCATGTTCTAGCGGGATGGCAATCACCGTTCTGTAGTAGGCAACACTACGCTCAAAGATTTTCCCCACTAAACTCCCAGCTACAGAACAATCCTGCTCCCACTGTCCTCCTTGATCCCTGAAAAAAAAACCCAACCCACCCATAAACCAGTGCCCATCAGTACGACACAACCCGCCGCTGATTTACAGAGAGCACCCACCAACCCATCGCTCCCAACTGAGACACAGACTCACATCAAAACCCAGGAGAATTCGGGGCCTTATTTTTAAGTCAGATGATGCACAATTCAGCTCCTGCCCTTTCAGGTAGGAATGGGAAGTGTTTACACAACACCAACTCCAGATTAGATGCACACGTGGTCTGCAAGTTTCAACATCTGGATTTCCAACTTAAAAAAGTTTTGTTTATGATCTTCAAAACCCAGCACATTTCTGCTTTTTCTGTGACTCAGTCCTCTCGGCAAAAGGAAACCCACCTAATCTTGTTGGGATCAAACGAGAAGCTTAAAATGGGACTGATGGCTGCTCTGTGCTGCTGGCACCAACGGCCAGGTGATGAGCAGTAACTGAGTGCAGCAGACAAGAAAGAAGAAGAAAAAGTTCTTAACTGATGATGACTCACAGGAGCTGGTGCTCCGAGGATACATCTACACTGCAACATCTGCAAGCTACCAGTTTTTCATCGGGCATCCGCACACCAAAACCAAGCCCGCTGTACGGCAGGCTACAAACCCCTGCTCCCAGCACCCCAGAGCGCATTCTCTGTGACAGCAAGGCAAAGCTTGCTGCTCACAGTATCCAAGCTGCCTAGAACCCAGCTCCTTTAGACATGCCTACGTGTTCAAATCACAACAGCAGCACTGCTGTCCCCTAAAAGCTCCGTTTCACCTCAAAACCAGTAATCGCCTCCACTCCCACTCCTTCGCCCTGCAGAACTGTGAAAGATCCATGTGACGTATTGGAAGTGCAACACACAACTTCCCATTAAAAGTGCATAGGTACAAGTTCTGTTCTAGGACTGTTTGTGAGCCTCCTCTGAAGCTCCTTTAATTAGGTGTTTTCACAAACATTTCCAAACACCCAGACTGCGGCTGGTGTCTCTACTGTTGACCTGCTGGCTGTGCGTCTCGCTTAGAGATGCTTGCGCACAAGCCAGCTCATTCAAGTAAGGGCAGTCACAAGCTCCTGTGTTTTTAAACTTACCCAGTGTCATCACGGTACAGACAGGCACCGCCGTATTTTGATGCCATTTGTGCTTATGGTACATATAAACTACTTGGAGACAGCAGAGCAGACTCTTTTGGCCTCAGTTTTTCTTCTGACCCACTGCTAGAGTTCCATTTCTCAAACACCCCTCCCATGCCAACTCAGAAGAACGAATTTGTAAAAGAGCAGAGGCAGACAAATATTTCTAACGCCACATTCTCCATCACCTAGTCTGCTGCGTAGACTGAGGTTCGGTTCACTGATGAGCATCATCTTCTAAAAGTGATAAGAGGGGAACCTACAGACATGTGGGCCTCCTTGACACGGCAATTCCACTGCTCCGTAACATCTGCTCAGGCGTATGCAGAGGCCAAACTACAGCTCTGCCTGCTTTAGCCTGTTACTGCAGTGCCTGTGCCAAACAGGGCCTGCAACTGTTACCTGTGCTAGGTATATCGAGGTTTCCCCACTCTGCAGTGGTGGGTGCTGCAGGCCACTGAGCAGCTCATCTGGATTGTGTCTTGGAAGGGCACACCCTTTAGCAGCACTTCCTTCCCTAATTTTACAGGAAATCCCTTCTTGTTACTAATTTTATTTTTACAGAAAAATTTTATTAGAAAAAACATTAATAAATAGTACCTTGTTAATAAAAAGTAGCATTGCACCTGTTGTACAACAGTGCCACTGTTTCATCTCTCTCACGCACCCAACCCCTCTTATAATGAATCCTCTGAGCACTTAGCTCCTCACTTTTCTTCTGAGCTACACGCAAAATGGGGAAATAAGGAGTGGGAGGAGAGAAGGAAGGGGAAATAGGTTGCAAAATATTTGCTAGAGTTCACAAGTACTTGCTTAAATTTGTAGTCCCACCAGCTTCAATGGACCTATTCACCCAAGTGTCTGCTTATGCAAGCACAAATTGCACAAGGGCGGCCCAAATTATTTGTTCAAAGCCGTGCAGAACTTATTTCAGAGCCAAGATTAGAACAAAGACATTCCAACTCTCAGGCCCACAGTCAAATTGTTGTCACAATTCTTCTACTCAAACTTTGTAGTCAAAGCAGAAGTGAAATGATAATCAGCCAATCAAGTTTGGGGGTTTTCCTCTGCAGTAATTATAAAATTAAGATCAATACTGACAGTCACGTAAGAAAAATCCAGAAACAAAGAACAAATTAGAATGGTAGATGTAAGGATCAGAGTTTCTCAAAACCGTGGCTTGAAGATCACTCTGTCAAAGTCACATTTCATACAGATGAGAGGGCAGAGGCAAGCAAACTGCACACCCATTTGGCATATTCCTTTAATTTATAATAATAAGGGAATAAAATAACTGGACACAGCCTTTACGTAAGCTGTGGAGGATGACTGTGAGGCTGTAACGCACACTACCAAGTTAACAGTGCATCACTACGATGCTTTTGAGGAACAGCCAGCTCACAATCTGTGACACAAGGGCCAGATTCTGCCCACTCTCTCAAAAGATGCAGAACAGGCGTCAAAACTGCGCCGTCCTTGACAGATACCTTACTCCCTGACATTATACAAACACTGCAAGTGCAAATACTTGCAGTGGGAGTATATGCCGAGTGCAATATTCTTATAAAAGGGCAAGGCAGCTGACATGCTTCCCATTATGCTAAGCAATCTGAGAAAGTCTGCTTCACAGTTGCCTCCCACGTTCCAGAAGCAACAGCTCTCTACCACTCCTTCATTTTTATTCTGTGTTGTATCTAAGTGGCACAATCTAGCCCTAAATATGCGATTAATCTGATATAACATTTACAGTCTTCACAATGACACACATTTACACAGAAAAGCATTTCTAGAGAAAGCACTGAGCAAAAATAGAACATGCTCGAAGACCTTACCCGTTTATCTATCTCTCCATGCTGCAGCTGAACAAAGCGAGCACTGATAGCAGCTATGTAACTCTGTTGATTAGAAAATGCAACCCGCCCAGCTCCTTTTGGGTACTTCAGCTCAGGGTCTGTGTCAATTCCGGCATAGCACACCCCTCCGTACAGCCGATCCATTATCATGGCAAGTTCCACTAAAGCAGAAAGGGAAACACAACAGTGGTGTAAGCTTGGTAATCTTTTCTAAAAGCATCAAGTGAAACAGCCTGTTCGTATTCATCTCCCCCACTGTAAGCGTCAAGAGCACTCAATACTTCCCTTGCTGAAATAACCCGTTTTCCCCGTTGCTCCCCAAACCAGACTGCACAGTCAGCACCCCCAGCGCTGCGAAACACGCAGTGTACCTGCTCGTAAGGGCCGAGGAACACCACCAACAAAAATGGTTTTTCGTGGGTCAAGAGGCTGTGAACCATCCATGACAAAATCACTATCGCTAAGGTTCCAAGGCCGGATCTGAACCTATGGACAAAAAGCCTTTTTTTTTAACCATTCACAATTCAAAGTACCTCAGTAATACAAAACAAAACAGTACCCTGCAAAGAAGAAAACCTCTCCAACGGCTGTACTTTCTAAACTTGTTTTCTATTTGTTCAGCAATCGTTTCTCAAAATGAAGGAGTAATACAGACCATCTGATTATACTAAATTTCACCACTTCCTTGTTACCCAAATTTCTGGGGAAAAAACCTCACCCTCTACATACACATTTACTTAATCGTGACTGAACCGTGCTGCACGACCTGCACTGGTGCATAGGTATCTACGCCTCTCCTGTTGTTCCAGCCACGCGTGAGCGCTAGACGAGCGTTATCTCGGCGCAGCAGGCTCCAGTGCGCAGTTGCGTGTTTATTTACTACGCAAAACTCGCTGCTGTGTTTGTCTACAGCTGGCCAAATGCAAAGTATGAGAATACAGCAGAAGGCTCTCCAACTATTCACACACTCATCAGCCCCAAAACCATCTCTACTAATAATACACAGTTACTGACGGTGGGTTTTTTTAATTTAATTTGTCAAAACAGGTTACAGACAACACGCAGACAATATCAACTCTACATTTTATTCAATAAGAAGCATAAAATACCTGTCTGGAAATACATTTATTAGATCAGCAGTGGTGAAATTTAGCAAACCTTTTTCTAACAAGAACATGAGTTGTAACTAGACTGAAAAACTTCCTAATGTCTACTTTAAAAATAACTAAGTTGGTCTTCTCTTTGAGAACTTAATTTGACACCTTAGAGAAATTTAAACATTAACAGTCTGAAGACAGAAAAAAAGGAAAAAGGCATCTGAAAAGAACAATTTCTGGTTATCATACAAAACTGTGCAGGCCCTGAGAATTCTACCTACCGGTTTGTCTTTGATAGTGGGGCTGGAAACACAAAGATAGAGCTTTCCATCTTCTTCAATACATGCATCAATCAGTGCCTGTACAGAGCTTTCATCTTGGAACAGCAAAAACGCGTATCCTACAGAAGGGAAAACAAACACAATTTCTTTTGCCTATTTGCCTATAGGATAATAATTTAACCCAGAATTATGTCTGGCACCATGTCATCATGCTACCATACAGTAAGGGACAAGCTTTAGGATGCCCTCACACGTTTCCAACCCAGCCTCCTGCAAGTCCTCTGCAGAGACATGAAGGAAAGCAGGGAGCTTGCTGCTCAGCACGCTCTCTCCCCACTCCTCTAACAAGGATAAGCCAGCAGTGTGAGCTGAACAAAAGCCACAGCTGTAGGGGCAAACCTGCCAGGACAGTTGTTAATGGAAGGTTCAAATCCTTCCCAGATTCTGTGGATGGCATCTAGTTCCTCTAAAGAGGACTGGTCTCGACTGTTATTACAAAAATGAGGAACAACAGGGGGAGAAAAAGGAAAATGGAATAAGGAAGAATTCTTTCAGTGCAGAATAACATTCTAACTTCCATCAGTTTCTAGCATCTCAAGGATTCAACTTTTTCCCCCCTAAACACTGGGCCACTGTCACAAAAATCTTGTCTAAAATGGAGTCTTATTAAAAAAAAAGAGATTCTAAAATGTTCATTTGTTATTGGTTACCAGATATTTACCTTTAGGAGGAAAATAAGATTTGCTCTCTGCCTTGTGTGGCCAGTCTACAATCAAAGGTCCAAAGCGACGAAAACTAGCAGTGATCTCATCTGTAAAGGAAGAAGAGAAATGCACGAACTGAAATGGAAATAAATTGAATCATTCTGTGATTCTACAACTTGAAGAGAAGACAATTTGAAGAACACAGACTTCAGGTAGCTTCATCCTATAAATAAACATTCTGTGAGCCTAAAGTTTCAGCAGCTCACAGCAATGCTTACTAGCTGATGGGGAATCTGTATGACAAGTCAGAACACACATTAGAAAACAAGACTGGCCCAAGATCAAGCTGTTCTTTCCACTGATTATTATAAATAAAAGCTCATAACCCACTAATTCACAGAAATAGAGCCACTGCATCTATACTTCTATCACAATCCAGCTCCAACTACTCTCCCACAGAGTTTAGAGATAATTTGCTGACTTGCTACTAAGCAATCAGCTCGGCCAATACGCCTTATTACTGCAGAAAGACTGGAGAAGAGCGGACTATCACAAGATCCAGCCGTGCCTGTTCATATCACATGCCAGTGCCACATGTGCAAACACTATCTGAGCTTGACCTCAAACTAACACAGAGTAGGACACTACGTGCACGACAGAGTCATGTAATTTTATAGGAAAGGTGGCAAGAACATATTACTATATCAAGAAGCAATTCCTGCATTCATTTCAATTCTGCCTCTGACCTCAAATTACTGACATGAATTTGCATATGCTAGTCCCATAGAAGCCGTCTAGTTACAATTATGTTCTTCTTGAAATTAAGTGATTATCCTCTTTTCCTTCTTCACAAACACACCTGAACCATTGCTAAAGTTCTTTGGACAAAAATTTTTCATTAAAAAATTGAAAGAAAAAGAAGAAACTTCACACTGGTGGAGGATCATCTAAATGGACACGCTGCTCAGCTCTATTCTGTTTATGGTACTACAGGGCTTTCTACACTAGCATGCTAGTACGTGGGATCCTACTATACAGCTGAGACCGTTTTCCCTGTCCTCAATTTAGTTAGATATCTGAAAAGGTGTTACTAATCATGTCTTTTTCAGTTTGTTTACATTCTGTGATGACATTGCTAATGAAATAGCAACTGACAATCCATTGTACTGCCAGCTTCTTCGTGCACTGCAGCCCAGGAACGTATACGGCAGGGGTAGTGTGTCAAGGTTACATGCTGATGAAGGTCTAAACCAAGGAGAGCAATACTTACTAAATACCTATTCTTAAAATAGATCTCCATTCAGAACAGCACTTAACACAAATTTAATATTAAAGCACATACGTAAATTGCTTTCTAGAAACAAGATCAGAAAAGCCCTCAAAAATTCAGCTGTGGTGTAGATTTTTAAATCATATACTCCTTATTCTAACTCACATTTGTTTTGAAGAGCGTGGACAGAAGCAACTCTGAAAAATTTAAGCTACCCTCCTAGCACAGGTTTAGGAAAGGTCCTATTCTTTAATAACAAGGGTCCAGAGAGACTAACCCATTCATGAGCTCCTCTGCTTTTAAAACAACTGAGGTGACAAAAACCAAACAAAATCCCAACAACAACAAAGAAAGAGAAACTGTAAGGTCATTTTTCCTCTTGCAAACGCCACGTTATAGTTGACCTTTTCATAATAAAGTAGCTCTTATGTCTGACACGGAAGTCAGGTTATCACATTGCAGTAGCACACACCGCAGTGCATTCCAATCCCTCTCCCTGACACAAAAACTGGGTATTAAAATGATTCTGTGATTAAGAAAAAGCAACCAGCCAGATTTCCCATTGCTGCAGTTCTTTTCACCACTATCCCAGTACAGAATATGGAACTCTGGTGAAATGAAGCTTCGTAACACTTGTGCATGGTATATACATGGTTTGGGTTTTTTTAATAACAACTGCAGCACTCTGTCACCTTCGCCTGTGCGATGGACCCACCACCACCAAACCAATTCCTGGTTCCTCGCTGGCTGCAACTGCCTCTGCACAGATTCATTCCTAGTACACACTCCAAATAACGAGCTATGACTTACACTATGCAAACTTTATAAAACTACCAACAATACTTTTCCAACTACTGGCTCCTGGTGTCTATAAAATGACTGCAATGTACTTATGAGTTGCAGCAGGTGGCACTTACTTTTGTTTATTTTTGCATCACTATCCCATTTTCATACTGTAAAAAGTCAGTTAAATGTGTGGCAACACAGTTTTGTTCCTCAATGGCAGAACAATGCTATAGCCTAAACTAGTTTTAATTAGCTCACATTTCCCAGGGACTGAAGGAGGCAATATGCAAAGGAACATTTACATATCAAAGCCCTTTGGTGGAATTTGGAAAAAACCATTCATGAGCTAGCAGACAAAGGGTTTCACACCACATCTGGTCATTAAGGCAGAAGGAGCTTCTCCGGATAACATTTTCTGGGTGTACCTTCATCAATATCTGGCGGCAGTCCCCCAACAAAGACTTTACGGGAATACCGTTCCACTCTTTCTCCGTTCTGATGGGAGAAGCAGTGAGGCGATCCTAAACCACTGTGAAGAGTCTGATCCCCACGTCCATCATCCAAGAACCCGTCTTCCATTGGAAACAGTGAAGACTGACCTGAAGAGGAGATTAAAAAAAAAAAGAAGGGAAAAAACCCACATACTAACAGAACAAAGCACACACTGGTTAAAAAAATCAAAAATTCAGAAGCACTACTTGCTGCATGAGCAGTAGAACTGTTTGCAATCTTCCCCTTTAATAAGCAGTTATGTTCTCAGTCCCATGTGACCCTTACACTTTTCAGTATCACTGAGTAACTCAAGAGGAAAGGCTGCTACCTTCGTCACTGCACTGCAGCTAATGAAGAATTGAAAAAACCCAGTATTTCTAACGGATGCTCAAGTTGACCGTTTCCCATAATATTTTGTGTTTCCAATTAGGTTTCTTTTAAAAAGGTGCAAAAAAAGAAGAGAATATAAGCCAATTTTTTTTCCTGGGACTCTCCCAATAGCAAATATCACTACAACCTAAGCCGTGTATATAATTTTCCAGTGAACACCTTCTTACAATGAACAGACACAATTTCATGATGCAGATGGGAAAACAGGAGTTCTACCAGCTAAATATATTACACATCTAAATTACCTGACATCAAAGCATATCATAAACCATCCACTTGTAAACAACAAAAATCGCCTGATTAAAACAGGAAGACCCACTGTAACTCAGTGCAAATGAATACTGAAAACTAGGCAATACTGTGCCATTCCCCGAAGCAAGTTTGCTGTTACAACAGAGTTTCGTGAATGGACTCACTCTAAGAGAAAATGTTGTAAGCGTGCTTCCCCTCATGGCCCAGTGTTCTTCTGCGGTAACCCTTGTCGTAGTTTTCCTTAACAATATTTACTACTTCGAAATAAGGTCCTTTGGTTTATAAAGGCAACTGTACACTATCATAGACGGAGCACACAAGCTGATCTCTTCCATGAACTCACTGTTTAGTTACAGTATATCTAGACAACAAACTGAACAGACCTCTCATTTAAGGTGCATTTTGGGAATAAATACATCTAGGGCAAATAAGCAAATAAATGAGGTGTGTTTAGGATAGTTTCAGGATACATTTCCTTTTGCCTATGATATGATATACTATATCTGCTTTTCCAGAATCCATTACAATCTACCACAGTAATGTATTGGTAAGGTTAATTTATCCTGCTCTTGCTTCCTCCCTTTGAAATAAATTCATTTTAAAAAACACCTTGAAAACTGAAAATTTGACCCGTTCCAATATCCACGTATTTTCGTATTTTCCATGCACCCGTTCCAATATCCACGTATTTTCCATGAAAAAATGAAACAGCTAACAAGTTGAAAGAAAAAATGCAATAAAATCCACAGCCCATAGATTTTATACGAATAAAAAATGGAAGGCTCGGTCAGCTTGCTTTGTGTGAAATTTCAAAAATCTTTGTACACCCTGAATTCAAGTAAAATTCAATCATAATCAGGCCTATTTCTGTAGCTAGGCAAACCTAGTTCCTCCTATAATAAAAATATCGTAATACAGACTTAAATGTTATTTCGTTTTCCCCTAATGAACACACGTCATTTGTTTCATCTCTTAAGTCCCCAGCCCTGCAGGTATTGTTGGGAGGGAGCAATTTTCCATACCTAACCAACCTTCCCAGGTTCATCAGCACGACCGGTGCCGTGAGGTAATTCAACATGCAGGCTTGCAGGACCTGGTTCTTCAACCTAGCAGGCCAGGACGTATATTCACTATTGCCTATGCTGCATCAAGAAAGCCATCGGCACCCAGAAGAACCCCAATCAGCTTCTCCGGCATTGGCATTCATAACATACACGCAAACACAGCAACACAGCCCCGCAGTGTAACCAATCGTACAGATGATGGCCACTGGAAGGATGGTGATCATCGCAGCCTCAACGGTACTACTGTGGCATACCGCCTAATTCAGTTTAAATGTTTATTTATGGCATGCAGACTATGTAAACTTCTGTGAAACTGATCCTTTATAGTCTTAAATTTTGGAGTTTGTCCTCTAGTAACAACTTAATGTTATTTCTCCCATGAGACATTGTCAACATTAGAAAATTAAATAGGAATATTGTTACCTCGCCTTCTCCCATATGTCCTTGCTGCATGTTAAATGAGAAAGAAAACAGCCTTTCAAACATTGTTATAAGGACCAAAAGACCTCGTTTTATCACCTTTATACTAACTCGGTGATTCTCAAGCCTTTTCATGCTCCAGGTCATTTAAAACGCGTTCACGCACTGACCTCCCCCACCGCCCACAGCACACCATGCCTTCCTTGCACCATCTCTGTTACTTACTGATAACACATGTCCATACAAGGCTGACAGTGCATATGTGTACGCTCAGAGAGACTTTGTGAAAGCAATTTTAGTTCTTAATTTTCACATTTATTACCGAATCTATTCCTCTGCTGTGTGTATGCCTATCAGCAAGTGGATCTTTCCTCATGCCCCAGGTCCCCCGGCACATTCTGCAAGGCACCGTGCTCTCCACCTTGCCAAGCTCAAGCACACCCTAGACTGATGTTCATCTGAACTGGAGGAAAAGCCCTAACACAAGGAAAGCGGAGGACTATTGCGTGATTTTCTGTTTTGCAATTAGGTTGCTACAGAAGCTTTGCACAACCCACAAAATCCTTGGTTAAATTATTACTGGCAAATAACCAGCTGAAAAACTTAAAAGTCTGGGTCACTGAAACTGTCTTTCAGACCTCCTGCAGCCTGCATACAACAGCACAGATCCTCTCATACTAAAGAACACATCGCTGTAAATACCCCATGACTACCCACTGCTTGCCACTTTTCATTTTCCAAAACAAATCAACTCTACCATTAAAAAATACAGTATTTTTCTGTCCTGGCTTCCAGGACCCATTGTCAGAATATGACCAAACCTTCTAATCAAACTGCACATTCCTTCTCTTTTAATCCCATTAAAATCCGTGTCTGAAAGCAGGCCAACTGTTTTCAAAACTTGGTTTTTCCTGGCAAGTACTATGAGAAACTCTGGGCACATCATATATTTTATTTTGCTTCCTCATTCAAAGTTGAGGCTGACAATTAGTTTAAGTATTTAAATATCTGTAACCCACAACAGGAGTTGTTTCCTCTCTCAAAATAAAAATTGTATCAGTCCAATTTACTTCATGATTATTTAACATCTGTAAGATCATTTTACTTCTCTGATCTTTGCTGATAAGAGATTTTCACAACCCCAAGAATACAACATAACGAAACCCTAGTCCACACACTGAAGCCTTCACACAGGTACTGCCTTTATGGGAGAATCTTACAGGCTGAGGGCTTTGGCAAGCATAATTTTTCCCTGGTAATTCTGAATTTATAAATCCAAGAGGCTCATATAGCTCTCAAAGTAGAAAGCTGTAAGGAACTTGTCTTTCATGGAAAACAATCAGCAATCTCACTGCATTTCTGACAAAGCTCAGAAGCCTGTGCATGTTTCAGAAAACATCAAGCACTACCAAAACCAGCTCTGCCTCTAAAGCCATAAAAATCTTGCTTGTGGTTTCTAAATTACTAACAAACCCACACAAACTCCTTCGCTTGGTACACCCATTCTTGGCAACAAAGCATGCAGCACAGATCCGATTCCCACTGCAGATCTGTGACCACAATTTAGGTCAGCAGACTCCTCACTGCTTTGCCACCTGTGTCACTCAAGGCAATAGGATTTTTTTCTCCTTTACCAGTACAGGAAACAACAAAGGCTCAGCCACCAGCTACGAAGTATTTCCAGTGCCAAATACTACTGAAGAGGTTTTGAGAACTAAATACTAAGATTTTTTTATTATTATTTCTTAATTTTGCCTCCTTTTTTTCTGCATTTGCTTCATCTCACCCACAAAATACCAGCATTGACATTTCAAAGCATTCTCAGCAGCCCCAGTTTACAAAGTACCCCAGCCCAGCTGAGATACCAGCTTTCTCTGCTCACTGAATTCAGAGCTCATTGCATGCCAATAATTTCACACAATGACATACACAACACTCCAACTAAAGAATGCTCTGTTGGCAGGCCAGGAGGACAGCTAACTGTGCCTTACCAACTCTGTCCCTGGCTTTCCTAATTCCGTATGAAGAGAAGTCCTTGCTAGGGGAGTACCCCAGCTACACTGCAACATAACAAAACCTTGAGGTAACTGTTCCAACCAGAAAAAAAGATGTAATCCTGAAGATCAGAATGCTTGCCTACCGTTTGCTGCGAAATAAGACAACTACAACGTTGGTTTGGATGCCTCAGATCTATTTTTCCTTTCCTCATTTCTCCAACATTTCACATAATTGCATAAGGGGCCTAGGACAGACTCACTTCTTTTCAGCAAGAATTATGTTACAAAAGCTAAAAACACAAGGGGTTTAGCAAATGGTTCAACTGCTTATTGATAATCTATGCAGCGGTATCTTTCTGATAAAATCAGTCTGAAATTTAAAATGCTTATAGCAGCTGCTTCATTTATTTCGTCACCTCAACCCTCCCTGCAACACTCCTTTCTATGTAAGAAATAGTGTCACAGAAAGCCAATGATCTTTTGCAAAAATCTGCGACTTTTATTTTCATTTCAAGGAACTTAAGCAACCCACTCAAATTTTTCTGTCTTCTGCTCATTTGAGACACTTAATGGGCTCCTGGCCATCTCCCTCTCTTCTCCGTTTGGGTTTTGTGTGGTGTTCTTTTCTTCTAAATCACATCTTTCGTGTCTGCCATACCTCCAATTAGATGTGTTCAGCCTTCTCCCTATAGGCCGCACCACAAAGACTGTGGATGTGTTGTGTGTAGCGACACTCTGCATCAAGCACACAGTTCCGTGACACACATTCTGCTGAGCAAGCATGACAAACATAGGCAGGAGTCCTAAACCACTTAAACCCCAAACTTACTACAAGCTTGTCCTGCAAAAAGTGTGCCTAGGCTGAGCACGTGGGACTCTAATGGTTTTGGCTGCCCTCCAATCATGGCAGCACTTGCAGGTGTATTTTGTGCCATTAACTGTGGAAGATTTACAGGTCAGCTCAAGAGCAGACTGGTTGAAGCCAATGGACCAGTAAGCAAGAGAATCAGCCTCTCCTGCAAATATCATCCCAACTTTCTAAGGTCACACTACAATTAGGAGAATTATACAAGCATCCACTGATAACATTAATATAAACATCACAAAAACCTGGAATGGACAGAGCAACTAAATGCTCAAAGTTCAGTTACAGCTGTACTCGCTACCTTGCCATGGTTTCACGCATGCGTTCAGTTACAGCTGTACTCGCTACCTCGCCATGGTTGTTTCACGCATGCAAAGTCCAGGCTGATGCAGTACCTGTCCACTCCTGTACCTAATTCCTATCTGTAGTCCAAGAGCTCCTCAAGGCAGGAATTCTGCTCTTCACCTCAGCACAGAGGCCAATACAGTAACACCCTGCAATCTTTTACACTGGTCATTGATATGCTCTTATTTCTTTCCTCTCAAAAACCAAACCAGACTAGTTTTATTAGTGAGTTCCAAGGAATTGCAGGTTTCTGTGCACACTAATCACTGAAGTTCCCAGAGAAAGATTTTTGAAATTTAAAAGGAACAAATATTCATGTTGATGTTTTACATAACCTGACTGTGAGAACAAGACCCAATCACACCCTTCCACCAGGCTCTACGACTGAAACAGCTTCCCACCATCCAACTCCAGAAAACTAGGAAACTTCTGTCAGTTTGCATATACTCTTTCACGTTCTACAGCATTCATACAGGCTCTCGGAAAAACAAGATTTTGCTGAAGTGATCCCAATTCCATAAGCTTTCATGAAGCAATGGTTTTAACTTGCTGATTTTTAGGGACAAGAAGTGGCAAACCAGAACCTGCGGTATAAACTTGGGAACCACCACAGGGGGAATAGGCTCTTGCAGATGAAAGCACTGAAGTGTGTAAGGGAAAACCAAGTCTCTATACCATCATCAGCTATTTGTTAATTATTATATAAACGGAGGAAAGCTTTAAGAGTCCAGATTGGTTTTTTTTTAGAAAGAGGGATAGTATTTCCTCTAAGACTATTTCAAAACCTCTCCATGTTATTTGTAAAACTTTTAGCTGTAGATGTCCATAGGTGGCCAGTTTCTTATGCTGTGAAGCAAATACCATCCAGACAGAGAGTTTCGAACTTTCACTGAAAGTGTTTACTCTGCTAGTCGTTTTCTCCCCCTAAACAGAATATGGGGAGATCATTTGGTGCTGCACTTAAGACTTAACTTTTATAGAGACAGAAGTTTCAAACTTTCACGGGATTATTTCTAAATGTGAGCTAGCTATCCTTGAATCGACTCTAGAAAATATTTATGCTTTCATGAGTTTCATTTTTAAATTATACAAAAATAATTGAAGTACAATCTGGTTTGGCCATTCCAACAGCAAAGCCTTTTTTGCTAAATTATTCTACACTAACCTATATCTTGTAGTTGTGGCAAGATTGACGATGCTGTGCACAAGGCCATTAAAACATGAACCACAGTACTTCATTACCTTTTTTCCCCCCACTACTCCCCCGAGGGCAGGCAGGGTTGATTATAACTCAAGAGTTTCCCAGCGAATTTCACATGTAATGCAGGGATCACCTGTTTCTACCACAGGTAACAGCACATTTCACAAGAAGGTCATCTCAAGCCCAATTTTACTACTGAAGAATCTAATCGTATCCTCAACCAAACTGAAAGCAGAATAATTAGAATTATAAAGAACATCTATGTTTAACCTACTTTTGGTTACATTATCTCTGTATATAAAGGAGCAATTCAGAGACCAAGGCAAGTATTCTCACAGAGGTATATATACTTTCTCAAATTAGAATGTAAAAATCATGTCTATCTATGTATTAAAACAGCCTTACAACTTAGGTCTTAGATGACATTTTCAATAGAACAGCATATAGTGTCATAAAGTGTTGCATGGCAGGCAAAAAAATAGTGCTTTTTATGTATTCCTTAAGTTCTAAAATATTAAGGACAAAGGACAAAAGGGTTAGGCCACAGTTCCATGACTGTTAACACACATGTACGCGTGCAAAACTTTTGCTCAGTTCAAGCACAATCTCATTTTTGTCG